TTTTTAAAAAAACAAAAAACTTGAAGTATTTCAAGTCCTGAATGAAAACACCTTCCAACCCAGACTGACGTACCTTGCAAAACTATCTATCAAATTGAATGGAGAGACAAAATACTTCCATGACAAAGAACAACTGAGAATCAAGCCAACCCTATAAAGAGTACTGATAAATATTTTAGAAAGAGCTAAAAATGACCACAACTTCAAGAACAACAATAGGAAAGAACCATCAAACAGAGCAAGCAATTAAACAGAGGGGAAAAGTAGAAAACCTACAGAATTGGAAAATAACATGACAAAGATAAGCCAATACATATCAGTCATAACCATCAATGTCAATGACCTCAATTTGCTTGCTTCATACTTCATAACCTGGTGTCAGGCTTGCTAAGCAAGTCTAGCACTTAACTACATATTTAGCCTTTTCTTTTCTTTTCTTTTCTTTCTTTCTTTCTTTCTTTCTTTCTTTCTTTCTTTCTTTCTTTCTTTTTGTGGAACCGGGGATTGAACACAGACCCTGTGCTTTTCAGGGAAGTGCTTATTCCACTGAGCCATCTCCCCAGCCCTCAATTTTTTATTTTGAGATGGACTCACTACATTTCCAAGCCTCCTGAGTGGCTGGGCTTACAGGTGTGTACCACCACACTGTCATGAGACATTTGGACAAAGTGTTTTCAAAATGAAGTTCAGTGCAGTGGGAAGAGGCAGAGTCTAAAGATCAGGCGTAAGACCCAGCCTAGCTCCTTCTGCCTGTGTGACCTCATCCATATACATGGTGGCCACATTTCTGGGATTGCTGAGACTCACATCACAAACTTGACATTTATTCAAATTTATTGAGATCTGGAGGGACCCAAACCATGCAGCAGCTTAACTCGCTCTAGTCTCACTCTCTCAGTATCTAACTCCTTTATTTTCTTTTATTTTTTAAAAACCCTTTAGTAGGATAGTTTCAATAATTAATACATTGCATATTGTTGTCTTCATAGTGGTTATTCATAGTACAAGATACAAACATGATATCCCGTCCAAACACTATTAGTACACATTTTTCTTATCACTGAAGAGAAAGCAGCTGTATATCTATCCTAACTATTTTGAATATTCAGATACAAAATGGTCCTTCATTTATATTCCCCTTTTTCATTTAGTTTTGTCAGAGATGGGTATTCCATTGCCCTTTAAATATTGTAGGTGTGTGAATTCAGCAAAATAATCCAATATAGTTCAGCAGTCATAGTGGGTTATCCATAGGACTGCAGACCTCAAAAGTCATCTCTGAAATTGCTGGGCTCCAGACCTTGTTCCCTGCTCTAGCTGTGCTTTCTACCACCCTCTTTTTTTTTTTTTCATAATTTTATTGAGAAACAAATAGCAATGAGACAGTTTAAAATCAAATTAGTAGGGCAGTTTTAATAATTAACACACTGCCTACTGTCTTCCTAGTAGTTATCTGTTGTACAAGATGCAGACATGATATCCTAATTTACAAACACTATTAGAACAAATCCCTCTATTCACTGAATTAAGAGAATGTAGCTGTATATCTATCCTAACCATTTTGAATACACACATGTAAGATGGACATCTGTATCCCCTTTTTTTGTTTAGTTCCGTTATTTGAATATTATAGGTGTGTGGACTCTGCAAAATATTCTAAAAGCCCATAATAGTATTGGGTCTTCCGCTTGACTGGCAATGTCAGAAATTATTGACCTGAGTCCCCCACAGCTCAACATAACAACATGGCTTTACTTCCTATATTTCGTCTTCATACTTTTCTGCTGGATGGTTAAGACCAAGGTAAAGCAGGACCTGTGCAACAAGAGTTGTAGCTTTTGGGTCTGAGGTCAGTGAAATCACCTCAGGATTTATGCTGAGATCGTGTACCTCAGATTGTAGAACCTTTGTCAGTGTCTCCCATGTGGATGAGATCACAAACCTTGGGACACCACTGAGTTGCAGCATGTTACAGTACAGGTTCCCCTATGTCCTGAGTCCTCACTGACCTTGAAAGGCTCGGGCCACAATGTGGGCTGTCCTTGCAGCTCCTCTTTTTCTCTAACTTTTCTAACTCCTGGCACGCACAGGCCAACTCCGCCTCCTTCCTCCTCTGCTCCGTCCCACCTGCGGGAGGCGCGCTGTCTGGGCCTGCTGGGCTCCCGTAGGTCCCGAAGCCGGTCGCCCCCAGCCTCAGGCCCTGGCCTCCCGCCCCAAGGCGCACCTCACCGCCCAGCCCCGCCCCGCGCCCTCTGCTCTCCCGCGGCCACCTCACCCCACTCAGGAGCGCTCTGTCCTCGCTTCTCTCAGACCAGGCCACTGCCGTCGGACCAAACCAGCTCGGCACCGGTACCACCAGCTCGCCCTCCAGGCGGAGTCGGCACCTAGAGAGCGGGCCATGCGACGCGCCCTCTGCCTGGCACCGTGGGAGCCCCTGCGTCTCCTCTCGCTCCTCAATCAGGTCCGCGAGCGGGGAGCGTGGCCCCGCCCATGGCCCCGCCCACCGAGGCCCGCCCCAATTGGCCCGCCCACCGAGGCCCCGCCCACCGAGACCCCGCCCCTGTTATGCCCGCCCACCGGGGCCCCGCCCCTTGCACACCTGCAGTGCTTGGGGTTTGCATCCTCGCTGCCTGAGACTCATTACCCTGGTGCGGTCCCTTGCCTGGAACATGACACCTGAAGAGTGGACGTTTCTAGTGATTCTTCTCATCTCCATCCCGATCGGCTTCCTCTTTAAGAAAGCTGGTGAGTAGAGTGTCCACTCTGGAGGAAAGTGAGGGGAGAGGCAGGCTGCGGGAGGGGGTAGGGGGAGCCCGAGTTTCCAGGCTCACGCCGTCCTTTCCCTACAGGACCCGGGCTGAAGCGATGGGGCGCGGCCGCCGTGGGCCTGGGGCTCACCGTGTTCACCTGCGGCCCCCACACGCTGCACTCTCTGATCACCGTGCTGGGGACCTGGGCGCTCATTCAGGCCCAGCCCTGGTGAGCGGGCGGCGGCAGAGGGAGGGGGCCACCTGTCGTCTTCGGGTCTCTGCTCTCTCCTCGCTTGTCCTTCGTCCTTCGTGCATCAGAATCTCCTCCCCTCCTGCGTCGCTCAGCGCCCAGCGCCGGGGGCTCCGTGTTCCTGGTCTCTGTGTACTGTCCCGGCCACCACCGTGCAGTCACTGAGCACCCGCCCTGACCTGCTGGTGGCCAGGTGGTGAGGACCAAGGAGGACTGAAAGGGTTCGCCCTGAAGCGCTCATCCTGGTCATTCTTCCCTTCTCTGAGGCTGCACTATGTTCCCCGCCTGGAAAGTTTCTGTCTGAACTCAGTGCTGGGGAGTTTTCTGGCTAGACTTGGGAGCTGCGACACAGGCTGAGATCCCTGCACCCACACAGCGCCCCTCACCTGTGCCCCAGCTCCTGCCGAAGCCTGGCCCTCCTGTGGATCTTCTCCTACACGCTGTTCTTCCACACCCTCAGCCTGCTGGGCCTGCAGACTAACATGCACACCTACATCATCCAGCTGCTGGTGACGCTGAAGGTCAGCCCGGACCCCCTCCCTGCCTCCCGCTCCTCCTGTGCCTGCCAGGCAAGCGCTTATTCCACTGAAGCTTCTCCCCGGCTTGGTAGCTTCTCCTTTGTGCCTCCTCCAGCCCTTCTCATGGCGGTTACACAAACTGGAGTATGGGAACAGCGTTCATGTTTCATGTGCCCCGGAGATATTCGCCTCCTCACTCAGTCTGGAGTAAGGAAAGAGCCCGAGCGCATGCTGAAATAGGAAGAGTGATTTGGCGCCTGGGCTGTGCCTTTTGGCCCTGCTTTGCCCACATGCAGTCCTTAAATTTCTGTCCCGAATTGTTTTGCAAATGTGGAAAACTAGCTTTGGGGTACCTGGCCAAAGTGCTGTTCTGGGACCTGTCGACATCAGCGAGCAGAATGGTCACACGAGGTGCAGAACTGGCCTCTCCAGCATGCTGTGTTCTCACCAGGAGCTCAGGCACAGGCAGGAGTCTGTCGGCTGCGAGGAGACTTGTGGGAAGACCATTTCTGGATGCGTGTGGACCAGGGGCCAGCGTGTGTGGGACGGCCGAGGGCTACGGACTGTGTCACCCACGTCAGCTTCCTGCAGAGTGCATAGGGCAGTGGGCAGCAGGGTCCTTTTCTGCTCTGGTAGGACTGGGACCTCCTTCTGTTGGGGTACCAAGATTCTTTTTGTTTTGTTTATTGTTACGATTTAGACATAGGTGCACACATATGGTAGGGCATTGGTATAGGACATATCTTGGCACTTCTTGTTTCCATTCCCCTTCCCTTTCTCCAGGCCCTCTTCCCCTTCCCCACTTTTATTTTTATTTATTTATGTATTTATTTTTGTATTTTAGGGAAGCGTCTACAGGGTGTTCAGGATCTCACTACTAGATCAGCCTCACAGTGATCCGCCTGTTTTACAGCCTCCCAAGAGCTGGGATTACAGGCACACACCACCATGCCCAGTCTTAATTGCCGTCTCAGCCTGCCCTGGGGTGAGGCTGGCACAGCAGACCCGGGAATCGAACCCCCAGCCACTGTGCCTGCTTGTAGGCACTTTAATCCACTGAGCTGTTTGGCCAGCCCTTTCCCCTTCTTCTATACAAAGCTTTGTTTCCATTTTATCTTTCTTTTCTCATTTCAATTCCTTTCCCTTTCCTTCTTCTCCCTCCACCCAAGGTCCCCTTCCCTTTTGAACAATTTCTTCCCATTTTGCAATATCCGTTATATATTTTTGGTTATTTACATTTTCAGTTTCTCACACTAGAAAGACCACGCGATGTATATACGTATGTGTCCAATTTATTTCACTGAAGAGCACGGTTTCCAGGTCCATCCATTCAGTTATAAATGTCTTGAGCTTGTCCTTCTTTAGGACTGAGTAGCACTTCATTGCTTAAAAAGTCCCCACATCTTCTTTATCCATCCCTTGGTTGATGGGCATTTGGGCTATTTCCAAGATTAAGCTGCTACAGACTGTGTCAGTGTATACATGATTATGCGTGTATTCCTGTGGTAGATGCTTTAATTCTTTTGGGAAGATACCAACAAGGAGAATGACTGGGTCAAATGGGATCTCTAGTCCCAATTTTTTGAATAATTTTCTCATTGATTTCCACAATGGTTTCACCACTCTGCCCTCTAGCCAACAGTGCAGAGAGTTCTTTTTGTCCCCACAGCCCCACCAGCATCTGTTATTGGCTCCTTCCTTCCTTCCTTCCTTCCTTCCTTCCTTCCTTCCTTCCTTTCTTTTTTTGTGCAGAACCTGGGATTGAACTCAGGCCCTTGTGCTTGCCAGGGAAGCGCTTATTCCACTGAGCTATCTTCCCAGCCCCATTGGCTTATTTCTTGATAATAGCCGTTCTTTGTGGAATGAGATGGAATGTCAACATTATTTTAATTTCCATTTCTCAAAGGACCAGTGATGTCAAAGATCTTTTCATGTATCTATTTGCCATTCATACTTCTTCCTCCGAGAAGTGAGCATTCCAGATGCCTGTCTTTGGATTGGGCTTTTAAAGGTGGGGGAGTTCCTGCCTGATTTTTTAAAATTCTTTATATATTCTAGGTAGCAAGGGGCAGTTGGCAGGAGCACCAAGATTCACTGGGAGGGTGTTTCGGTTTGTGTCTGGAAGAGAGGATGCAATCAATTTTGCATGTTAAACTCTTCATCCTGAGCTAGACATGGTGGCCTTGCCTGTAAGCCCTGCACTCTGGGAGACTGAGGCCAGATCCTGAAGGGTTGGGCTGGGGGCTGTCCCTCAGTACACAGGCACTGGCTTTAGTCTTTAACAAACACGACGAAAGTTTTGGCAGCAGTGGTGGCTCAGAGCCCTAATAGGAAATGCTGCTTGAGAACAGCTAGAGGGTTTTGGTTTTTTGGTTTTTTTTTTCCAGGACTGGGGATCAAACTCAGAACCTTGAGCTTGTCAGGCAGGTGCTTATGCTGCTGAGCTATCTCCCCAAACCAGCTGGAGGGGTTTATTTGCAGGGGTAGGGAGGATGGAGAGTAAGTGAACGTTAGGCAAGGACCCTGGACCAGAAGCAGGACGCTGTTACCCAGTACCGTGACAGGTTGGGGAGGGCAGGTTATGCAAGGTGGAAAGAAAACATGCTGAACAGAGGTGTGTCGGCCCTGGAATCCAACTCTCCAGGTTGCTGTCACCGAGGAGGAGAAAAGTGCTGCTCTCATTCTGCCTTCCTCAGCGTTCCGTTAGCTCCGTAGGAAGCCGGTGGACATACCAGGACTTGGCTCTGTGGAAGCGGTAGAGAGGAGATCTGAAGGGGCAGGCAGGATGTCCTTAGCCCTGCCATGGGGGTGGAGAGAAGACAGACTCGCGAAGGCCCAGTCTGGGATCCACAGTGGTTTCTGGCCTGAGCAGTTGATTGGATAGGGTGGCCTCTGCTGGAAGAGATTAGATCTGCTTCAGAAAGTGGTGACCCTGCTCCCTTTTGGCCATGCCACAGTTGGCATAACTGGGCAACTGTCTCAGGGGTTCTGGTCCACACTGGAGTAACATCTGGGTGTCATTGGCCTATAGACCATACCTAAAATGACAGGACTACATGAGTGCACATAAGGACAGATAACGGACAGAGAAGAGGCACAGGATAGAGACGAAAGAGTGTCCCTTCACTCAGTGCCTAGCCTGCCTGGGAGTAGCTCTTGCCTGGCTGTGACAGTGGCATAAGGGAGATGCTGCAGGGAGGACTGGAAGCTGTCCTCAAGTGGCATTTCCTAACGGAGCTCTAAGCCCCCTACCGCAGCCAGAAGGGAGGTGTTGCTGACCGCTCCGCACACCATCCCCCAGCTGGTGAGTCTGGTCAGAGACATCCCGGACCAGCACCTGGCCCAGCGGAAGGAAATGGCTGCGGGCTTCAGCAAGCCACCCGCCCTGGGGCTGCTGCCCGACGTTCCCTCCCTGATGGAGACGCTGAGCTACAGCTACTGCTACGTGGGGATCATGACGGGTGAGTGCCGGCCT